TGGGTGTGTAGATTTATATACGAACCAGTGCCTACATATAAGTCGACTCTATTTATAAAATTTTATTGAAAAATGTTGTTATATATTCTTTAAGTTCCGACACATGTAAAATTGAAAATATCTTTGAAAATCCAAATAAAATGTTGCAACTAAAACAGATGGGAAGTTCGGCCAGGCCGAACATTTAATATGCTCTATCGCGAGGGAATTAAGTAATTTCAAAGCCCAATAATAAAGTGGCGTGGGCTGAAAGGGGATTCCTATTTTTAGGAAAAAAATTTCTTTATTCTTGCAGTTCTTGAGCCGATTATTATACCCTACAACACTATGTGTTGGGGGTATTATAAGTTTGATTGGGCCAAAAATTATGTAACACCACGAAATATTGATTTCCCACATAGGAAAGTATATATGGATCTTCCTATCTCGCCGAGCTGAGTCGATCTAGCTATGTATGTCCGTCCGTCCGTCTGTCCGTCTGTCCATGTTAATTTGTAATCACTCTACAGGTCGCAATTATGGCCCGATCTTCACGAAATTTAGAATGGAGGTGGGACTCGGGTCAGAATAGAACCCTATTTCTTTTGGAGATGATCGCCAAATGTTTAGGGGTTGAAATGGACCAAATACTGAAAAAATGTCGGATTTTGCAGTAGCTGTACAGGTCGCAATAATAGACCAATCGACGCGGAATTTCGCATGTAGCTAGGGCGGGGAAGAAGCCTACCAATTTGCGTGGTCATCGGATAATATTTAGCGGGTAAAATAGACCATATCTTTTTTGTTGACAAAATTCAAAATTTTTCATTAAACCGCGAATATTTTAAATCCCGGCGAAATCACAAAGCCATGACAAGGTTACTTCTGATCTTAACATTGCTGTTAAGATCCAAAAAATTGAATATATAGCAAATATATGCAATATATATGTCTATCAAAGAAGATATGCTTGAAAGATCTCATATATGTCGAGAACGGCTGAACTGATTTCGACAGTTCTCATTAATTCAGAATGGCCTCTTGGCAGGAAAGGAAAAACGTTTAAAAAACGCATACAAATATCTCTCTAAAGATGAAAATATTGAATTTGGAATATTTTCTCATATTTTTTTCATTTTGTCATATTTTTGGCATATTTTCATTTTGAATAAACATTTGGTAATATTTCTACAGCTAACAAAACTAAGTAGTTAGGATATCAGGATATCATATACAGATCGCATTTATGGCCCGATCCTTACGAAATTTTGCATGGGGATAAAATGAGGGTCAGAATATAAGCCTACTCTTTTTGGAGATGATCGCCATATATTTACGGGGTTGAAATAGACCAAAAAAAAAATAGACCATTCCAGTGACTTTTTGGAGAATTCACAAATACAAGAAAGACGCACTTCTGGCTATTTCGATAACGCCGATTTCGTTGAAGAATATATTCAAATGTATGCATTTCATATAGATGCGTATCAGTCAAAAACCAATAATAAATGTTAATCTTTTCCCGCTTCTGAGAGATTATAGGTCTTTGGGAAATATTGGTTCCAGATCTAGGAAGACCATTTAAGTGCAACATCTACCAATAAATTGGAAATGAGCAAATTAGTTTAAGTTGCTATTATTCGAAAATTAGAGAACGAAACCTGATGGTTTTCTTTTATTATTTGTCACAATATCTTGTGGAATTCTTTCGAGTATCTTGCCTTTATAAACTGTATCGTTTATTATAGTGTTGTAGGGTATTCAACGGTCGGCCCCGCTCGACTGTAGCCTTTGCTTACTTGTATATTAATGACCATCATTAAATTGTCGACCAGTGACTGTCGATTAAAATCACAAAGTTCGTACTTAAAAATTTTGCAGTGGCATTCCGATAATTCCAAGGATGTGTGGTATGTCAAATAGAATATATATGTCAACGTTTAGGTGAAGCCACTTATAACGGCACCTCCTGATTTTGGGTATTTAAAGGTTTCGGTTCAAGCATATCAGCTTTAATTTCAAATGCTATTAAAAGTTTGGCCCCTAAGAACTTATTATCATTTCTAATTGTTTATCTGGGGGTGATAGCATTGAAGGTTCTGAGCTAAGGGAGCCCTCTGTTAGCTAATATGTCTAATGGAATTTTTTTTGTGGGGTTTCTCTGGCACTAAACGAAATTGTATGGGGGTCTACGACAAAACTTAGAATCAATCCCAGGCCAGATTAGAAAATCAACGAAAACGTTCAATTTTCTCGTACCTCTACCATAAACGCGACAAAAATCAATTTATTCAATAATCACGTAAAAATCCAGCAACTGACTAACATGTAAAAAGCAGCTATGTTCGGCCGGGCCGAACTTTTTATACCCTCCACCATTTGGAAAAAACTTGAAAATTTTTCAAAAAAAATCCGCCGTTAAATTCCGCTCAAATGAAAACCGTTATATGGTGGCTATACGAAGACGTGGTTCTGCAATTTTTGTCATAGCCTGCTGTAACTGTTCTGAACTTTATATACGAAATTTGAAACAATTGCCGTGAATAATGTTGCAAAAACCATCAAAATACCGACTATCGGGAGGTACCGTTATATAGGGGATATATGATATCGTGGACCTATGCAGTCAATTCTCTCCCTGGCGGTAAATTACTCAGAAAAAACTCTTGGTGTAGATTTTCAGACAATTCCATTGAAAATGTGAGTAACTTCATAATACTGAATAACAGGAGGTACCGATAGACAATTCTCTTTCACGGGGTAATATGCTCACAAAGAACTCCTTGTGTAGAATTTCACACAATTCCATTGAAAATCCAGTAAGGAAAAGTCAAAAGTCGGGCGAGGCCTACTATATGATACCCTACACTAGGCATATTTAGTAGAGCTCCCTTATCAAAAGAATTTAATTCAAGTAGATCAAACCTGAAATCGGATTAAGGGTATATATGGGAGCTATATCCAAATCGTAGCCGTTCTCGATAATATTTGGCTGAGGTATTTCCGAGCTTTATAAGATATCTGGTACCAAATATCATTGTTGTCGAATGCATATTGCGAATGTAAGGGACTTTAAGACCAAGTCAGATGAAAAATATACAGGGTGAGATAAAAAACAGGTAAAAAACATTAAGTTCGGCCGGGCCAAACTTTTAATACTCTCCACCTTAGGGAAAAGGAAACACTAGAAGAAATGTGGCAAAAACCATAAAAATGCCGAATATCGGGAGGTACCGATATATGGGGGCCATACCTAATCGTGGACCTACATATGCAATGTTTCGCTAAAGGAGCTAGAACCCATTATGACCAACAAATACCAATTTTCCGACAAATCCGTGAAAAAATGTGGCAAAAATCATCAAATTACCGAATATTGGGAAGTACCGTTATATGGGGGCTATACCAAAACGTGGACCTATAATTACAAAGACTCGCCACACGCACTGGGACCCATTATGATGTACAACTACCAATTTTCAGAGAAATTCTTAAAAAATGTGGCAAAAACCATCAAAATGCCGAATATCGGGAGGTACCGTTAATGGGGGCTATACCAAATCATGGACCCATACATGCAATGTTTCGCCACCGTTTAAACAAATCCGTGAAAAAATTGGCAACAAAATAAAATACCGAATATCGGGAGGTACCTTTATATGGGGGCCATACCAAAACGTGGACCTATACATGCAGTGTTTTGCCACATGTACAGGGACCCGTTATGACCTACAAATACCAATTTTCAGACAAATCCGTGAAAAAATGCGGCATAAATCATGAAAATACCGAATATCGGGAGGTACCGTTATATGGGGACTATACCAGAACGTGGACCGATATATCTCATTTTCAATACCAACCATCCTAGACACAATACAAATTGCTCTGCTAAATTTTGGCGCTCTACGTCAAATAATGTGGGCTGTATCGTGATTTCAACAGACAGACAGACGGACGGACATCGTTAAATCTACTTAGAATTTTATGCTGATTATGAATATATATACTTTATGGGGTCTACGACGAATTTTTAAGGATGTTACAAACGGAATGACAAAGTTAATATTCCCTCCTTTCCAAGGTGTATAAAAAGTGCAACAGAGTCAAACTTCATAATTTTTAATTATTTTTTTTTAAATTTCATTGAATGAAAGCAAAAAATGTCGGAAATTGCATTCAATTTTAAAATAAGTTTAGATTTGTTCGAATTGGTCACTTTTGGCACGAATTATGGCCTTCAAAAGGCCAATGAAACCGTCACACGCTGTCCGAATGTTGCTCTGCGGTATTTTGGTCCATTCCCGGCAAAGCGCTTGCTTGAGGTGATCGACACTTTGATATTTTTTAGTGCCAACCTTGCTTTCCAAAATACTCATTGGTGTCCGGAGATTTTGGTGGCCATTGTGCGCTGGAAGTGAAGCGAGTAAACATTCTTGGGTGGCGCGTGCTGAGTGCGATGGTACTGAGCCCTGTTGAAATGTCCAAAGTCTGCGGCAAACATGTTTGCGTGCCTAAGGCTTTAATACATCCTCCAGAATATTTTCGCGATAATATTCGGCATTTATTCTGATGCCACGAGTAATTAATACGGGCGGAGAGCGACCATCGGCTGTTATGGCGGCCAACTTATTCTAAAATTCGATGCTATTTCCGAGCTTTTTTGCTTTCATTTAATAAAAGTAAAAAAAAAGTAAAAAGTATGGCGTTTGAGATAGACTCTATTCTATATATTATCAAAATTGCAAACAATCTAATGGCGAAGAGTCTCAAAGGTTCGATGCATCCGTTATTAGCGTCATTTTTATTTGTTTATTTCTATTCGAATCAAATTCGAAAGAATTTATGTTTCATCACAAAAAAATATTGGTAGGTGTGAATTTATTAATTATGTCAAAAAACAACAACGAAAACAATTAACAAAAATTACTTACTTCACGAACATCAAAAGAGTGGATAAAAAACACCTTCACTCAGAATTTCGAAACAGAATCTGAAGAGAATTCAATAAAACCTGAACAACGTAATTTCTTTGCATTGGCTTTTTGTTTCTTATAAATACAGAAATTACTATAAAACATTTGATTAGAATCATATTTGACTTTCTTCAGTTGACAAGCGCAAGCCGATCGGGGAATTTGAGAGGAATCACAGAAATAACAACAACAATGATGGTAAGTTCTTTGTGTTGTTTTGTTTGTTTTTGTAATCATTTATTTTGAAACAAAGAAATTTCAAGATTTATTTATAACACATAGAAATGTCTTCTTCCCCTAACTGTAATAATTTTGCTGGTGCGGGTGGATGATCTAGTTGCCGATGTTGCGGAACTGAATTCGAGATATCAACAACCTGCCGTTGTCATAGATATTCCGGACTTTACGGCCACGACATCAGAACACAATGGCTATGATTATTCACCGCCTTCGTTACGTTTGGAATTGCCAATTCGTAAGCCGAACAGCAATAAGCTGTCATCGAATAGTTACAGCTACGCTCCACCCGAGGCGGATACCACCACTTTGTATATACCTCCTGCCAGTACTGATCAAACAGCTACCGTCGATGAGGTGAAACCAATGCCAGTACCAATGTTTTTAATTAATACTCAAAAACCGTTAACTGCTGCACAACAACACCATCAATTTAAACAAGAACAAGAATCACAACATCAAACACAACAACAACAACAGCCGCTGCTAACATCTTCTTCATTCAACGACAATGCATTCTTGAATTCCATACCCCAAGGTCCAATTAAGTATAATGCGAATTATGAATCGCCGCTTATGCCATTTATGCCAATGCGATTACACACAAACATATTCCTGAATAATATTTTCATACCACCGGCAACGGCAAGTGTCTACGACAGAACCGGTCACTTGGAATCAGATGGTTATCATTATTAAAACAATTAACGACAATGGCCAAAATAATAGTTTAAATTTTAGGAATATTTAAATAAAGTATTTTGTTATTAATTTATAAAAAAAAATGCCTTTTCATAATCTATTGGTTTAAAAGGTTAGAGTATTTTTTAAATAAATATTTCCCACGAAAATACGAAAAGGAAGAGAAAAAAATTTTCGAATAAAAAATGTTGATCCAATTGTGTTATAATAAACAATGATGAGAGTTCCTTTTTCAGTTCCGATATTATAAATTATTAATATATAATAATTGTGGAAAACATAGGTTAAAAACAAACTCAATTATTTTATCTCCTCTTGAAATACATAACCCATTTCAAATCAAAATATAAAAAATAAATCGATTCCGGGTTCGGTGTCTGGTTAAAAATTCGCATTATAATTTTTTTTCCAAAATTAAAAGAAAAACGAAGTATATTATAGCTAAAAAGAGAAAACATGTTCATCGACGATTTTGAAGTTAAAATCGCGAAGCAATCTAAAGACAGAGGACAAGTTACTCCTTTTCCTTATTTTGTTTTATTTTATTTATTTATTTATTTATTTATTTTTTTTTTGATTTTTGGAAATTTTTGGATTAATATTCCTCGGATTCCTTGCATTTTAGACATCTAGCATCTTCGGCAACATTACTGATAATAAATTCATTTTTATACCCTACACCACAAGGTGGTCAGGGTATTATGTCTTTGTGCATTTGTTTGTAACAGGCAAAAGGAAACGAGATAGACCCATGGTTCCTTTTGATGATCTGCATAGAATCACATTCTGAGTCGATTTATGCATGTCCGTCCGTCCGTCTGTCCATGTATTTTTGTAAACAAAGTACAGTTCGCATTTATTGCCCTATACAGATGAAATTTTGCACAAATCATTTATTTAGCCCAAAGACGAACCCTATTGAAATTGGAGATAATCGGTCAAAATTTAGATATAGCTCCCATATATATCTTCGTCCGATTTGCCTTTTATTGTGCACCAAACGTGTAATATCAGTCCGAATTGTATGGAGTTTTGCACTTATGATCAGATTGGACCTGAAAATAAGTATGCCAAATTTGATCGAAATCGGTTCAGATATAGCTATAGCTCCCATATATGTTGTTCATCCGATTTGCTATTTTTGACCTCCGCAGCCGTAATATGCACCCTGTAACAACAATATTTGGGGAAATATATCAAATGCTGCTCAGAAATACATTTGCTAAATTTTATCGAGATCCGTTCAGATTTGGATATAGCTCCCATATATAACTTCGTCCGATTTACCTTTGATTGTGCACCAAACGTCTAATATTTTACCAAATAGGATGAAATTTGGCATTTACGACCGAATTGAGTCTAGAAGCTAGTATGTCAAATTTTGTGAAGATCGGTTCATATGCACTCTGTAACAACAATATTTGGGGAAAAATATCACATACAGCTCAGAAATATCTTTGCCAAATTTTATCGAGATCGGTTCAGATTTGGATATAGCTCCCATATATATCTTTATCCGATTTCAAATTAATTGTGCACCAAATGGGCAATACAAGTCCGAATTTAAAAGATGCAAATGCTTCGGCATATTTAGTCTTTTGAACTTTAAATTATAATTATAATCATAGCGTGTATGATTGAATTCTCCCATAAAAACTTTCAATTGTTATGCGCAGCTCTACTAAATTAGCAAAGTGGTGTAGGGTATCATAAAGTCGGCCCCGCCCGACTTTAAGACTTTCTTTACTGGTTTTTTTAATAATTACAATAATATCTAGTAGATCTAGATTATGAAAGTAGAGATTTAAACACAAAGCACTTATATCAGATTTTTAAAAGGTTGCATCGCAGAGTAACCGAGAAAACGTCCCCTCTCTGCCACATCTTTTGAAATCTTCAGTCTAAGACTTCTTAAAATCCTTACCTTTTAGGTTCATAGTGTCTCCGGTCATATTATGGATAACAATACGAGGATTATTTTGGTCGAATACCCTCATATGAGTTAGCGAAAGGGTCTTTTGACCTTTTTTAGATGGTTAAAACCTCCTATTCAAACCGGATGGTAGCAAATCTAAAGATTCGATAGATTTATTTGCCATAAAATTCCACTATAGGTCCTAGAAGACGACAAGAGTTTAAATCCTACCACCACCACCAGGAATTCATATACAGGGTGAGATAAAAAAAACTGCAACAAAGTTAACCGCCATAATTTTTACAAATTTTTTTGGAAATTTTATTGAATGAAAGCAAAACATTTCGGAAATAGCATCAAATTTTAGAATAAGTTTAGATTTGTTCGAATTGGTCACCTTTGACTCGAATTATGGCCTTCAAATGTTGCTCTGCGGTATTTTGGCCCATTCCCGGCGAAGCGCTTGCTTGAGGTGATCAACACTTTGGTATTTTTTAGTGCCAACCATGCTTTCCAAAATACTCCACACAATAGTCCAATGGATTGGTATCCGGAGATTTTGGTGACCATTGTGCGCTAGAAATAAAGCGAGGAAACTCATTTTGTAACCATTCTTGGGTGGCGCGTGCTGAGTCCTGTTGGAATGTCCAAGGTCTGCGGCCAAAATGTTTGCATGCCCAAGGCTTTAATACACCCCCTTCAGAATATTTTCGTGATAATATTCGGCATTTGTTATGAAGTCATGGTCGATTAATACGAGCGGAGAGCGGCCATCGGCTGTTATCGCGGCCCACACCATCACAGTGGCCAGCGCTAGAGTTCTGGTGGCCAACCGAAGGTGCACATTTTCAGCTGATCTCACGATAATCTTCTTTTTTTACAAACTGCTGGACAACGAATATTTTCTCATCGGAGGCGGAGAAAACCAAATTCGGCAGTTCACCACTTTCGGCCAAGCGAAGCAACTCTTTAGCTCTTTTGAGTTTATTTCTTTCTTTTGCGGTGTAAGTTCTCGCACTTTTTGGAATTTCAAATGCTTTACACCGAGCTCATTCTTCAATATTTGCCGAATGGAATATTACGATATGTTCAGCTCACGAGCCATTTTTCCGCCACTACAATGCGGATTTCGATCAAGTCGCTTATTTACTTTTCGAACCATTTCTGCTGATGTTGCAAACTTCAGAATTTTATCTCTATCCCTTCAGTCAATACCAAATATAGTACCACATAGTACTTTTCGAACAACTATAGTACACAGTTCTAAAACTACTTCCATATCTCAATTCCAGATACCATCAGTGACCTCAATATCAAATTTCTAGCCAGCCCTATTCCTTTACCCAATACCAAATATAGTACCATTCAGCACTTTTCGAACGATTATAGTTCACATTTCCGCAATCACCTCCATATGTCCAGCCTAGACATGAACAGTGACCTTAATATCAAATTTCAGATTTCAAGCACTATCTCTTCAGTCCATACCAAATTGTACCAAATATAGTACTATTAAGTACTTTTCGTGTACTAGTTGTTTCTATTTCCAAAAACACCTCGATATCTCAAACCAACCACCAATAGGGACCTCAATACAAAATTTCAAAATTCCAGCTTTATCCGTTCACCCTCAATCAAACTGTTTCAAATTTAATACCATTTAGTACAGTTCGGACACATTTAGAAACCCCCCTTCACATATCGAACTTACTTTTCAACCTTGATTCTTAAACCAATTTTTTAGAGTTTTATCTCTATCCGTTCACATAATACCAAATGGTACAATTTTAGAACTTTTCGTAACCTTAAAGTTTGAATTTCCAAAAACCCTATCCTGCATTTTAAATTTCTTTTTCCAAAAAAATTTTGCTTCTTCCGTTTGTTTAATAGAAAATGTTAAATTTTTAGTACTTTTCGTATCCTTTCAGAATTTTTAGATTTTAGTCAGTCAGTCAGTTAATTAAATACTCTTTTATATGTATAGCGATTCAAAAGTAGGACACTTTCTGTTGTTTTATACTTAGAAGGTCTTTTATGCATCTTCTTCAAAGCCAGAATTTCTGTTGTTTTGTACTTAGAAGGGCACCCCAATTTGGATTTTCTGTGGGTCTTCTAGAGTTCTATGGCAAATATGGTCTGCCTAGGGCCAAATTTCGATACAAACAATATTTTGAACAAGCTCACCATCTCACATATTTTTATACCCTCCACCTTGGAAGGAGGGTATATTAACTTTGTCATTCCGTTTGTAACATCCCTAAATATTCGTCGTAGACCCCACAAAGTATATATATTCATAATCAGCATAAAATTCTAAGTCGATTTAACCATGTCCGTCTGTTTGTCTGTCTTTCCGTCTGTCTGTTGAAATCACGATACCGCGCACATTATTTGACGTAGAGCGTCAAAATTTGGCAGAACAATTTGTATTGTGTCTAGGATGGTTGGTATTGAAAATGAGATATATCGGTCCACTTTCTGGTATAGTCCCCATATAACGGTACTTCCCGATATTCGGTATTTTGATGATTTATGCCACATTTTTTCACGGATTTATCTGAAAATTGGTATTTGTAGGTCATGACGGGTCCCTGAGCGTGTGGCAAAACATTGCATGTATAGGTCCACGTTTTGGTATAGCCCCCATATAACGGTACCTACCGATATTCGGTATTTTGATGATTTATGCCACATTTTTCACGGATTTGTCTGAAAATTGGTATTTGTAGGTCACAACGGGTCCCTGAGCGTGTGGCAAAACATTGCATGTATAGGTCCACGTTCTGGTATATCTCCCATATAACGGTACCTCCCGATATTCGGTATTTTGATGATTTATGTCACATTTTTTCACTGATTTGTATAAAAGTTGGTATTTGTGGGTCTTAATGGGTCCTAGTTCGTGTGGCGAAACATTGTAATTATAGGTGCACGTGTTGGTGTAGCCCCTATATAACGGTACCTGCCGATATTCGGCATTTTAATGTTTTTTGCCACATTTCTTCTAATATTCTTTTACCCTAGGGTGGAGGGTATTTAAAGTTTGGCCCGGTCGAACTTAATGTTTTTTTACTTGTTAAATTTTAAGTGTAATTAATAA